CCACCGAGGCCAGCGTTGCCGCCAAGCCCAGCGTGGCCACCAAGGCCAGCCCCTGCACCAGCACCGACGCCAGCGCCAAGGCCAGCGTGGCCGCCAAGGCCAGCGTCGGCACCAAGGCCAGCGTGGCCACCAAGGCCAGCGTGGCCGCCAAGGCCGGCGTGGCCACCAAGGCCAGCACCTGCGCCAGCACCTGCGCCAGCGCCGACGCCAGCGCCAAGGCCAGCGTGGCCACCCAGACCAGCCCGGACGCCAGCACCGGCACCGAGGCCAGCACGGGCACCGGCGCCTCCGCCCAGCCCGTAGTCGTCACCAGGGTAGTCACCGCTGTAGTCGTCGGAGCCGCGCAGGTGCGAGAACGTGCGCTTCTGCAGCTCTTTCTGACGGTCGCCCGCGGAGGTGTCGCGCGGGAAGAGGTCGCGCTCGGTGAGCATCGCGACGCCGCGCTGCTCCCACCAGCCGCTGGCCGGGGCCGACTCGACGGAAGAGGCCAGAGCGACGGCGACGGCGAGGGCGACAAAGTTGGACGAGATCTTGACCATCTTGATGACAAAGGAAGGTCGGCAGATGTGCTTGGAGGCTGCGGTGTCGCTGGAGGTAGGTGCTTGGGTGGAAGCCTTTCGTCGGACGATGCTCAATTCGAAAGCGGCCTGGCTTTTGATCGATCGCTTGACTGCGATTCGCAGGGGGACTGGAGGGGGAAGAGATCAACTCTTGAGTTTCACTGAGGAAGTGTCCGTGGGTTGGAAGAGGTGCGAGGTTGATGTCCTGAGGTGATGAGGTGGTTTCCGCCAGCGGAAACGAAGGAGAAGAAGAAGAGATGCGGGGTTGATCAAGCGCAGTGTCCGAAGGTGGGGCTGAGCGAAGAGGGCTGTGAGGCTGAGGCTTTGGGAGGAGGCGGGCAAGTGAGTGAGGATGGAGAGTTGCTGACTGGATTGGCCTCGACGGCCGAGGTATTTGAAGCTTTTCCGATTCGTACGGTGCGACGCTGGTGCTGCCGTCGGTGTCGGGCGCACCGCCATGCCAGATCAGCGCGCCGTGAGCGTCAGTCCGCCGAGCCGAGAGAGCAACGACACAGCGAGCGAGGTGTGCCCATTCACCAGGCCGGTCCGCTGCCGGAAGCTTCTGCCTTCACTGTAGCCTAGGCCAGCAAGCTAGCTCGAAATCTGGCGTGCAAGTGGTCCGAGACCGCGAGCGTGTCTCCGCGGTGGCGTTTGAAGACCTATAACGACGACCTGCGCGCACTGCTAGCGCAGCCCTGCTGCTTGGCTCCGAAACACCCCTTTCAAGAAAGGAAAGGTTTCGCCCCGGCCTTTGTGCTGAGCCGCTCGCGCCCCGAGTACAAGAGCACCGCAATCGCGCCCGACGGCCCGACCGAGGCCAGCCAGGCGCCTGCTTCGCTCTTTGGCTGCGCAGCCGAAACGGACAAGGCCGTGATGGAGCTAGAGGTGCCGTTCGGCGGTGTCGAGAGGAGAGCTGCATTGCCTGCCTTGTTGTTCGGGTGCACGGTGCACTCGGAAGCAAAAGCTATACGTGCGCTCGGAGCGGCTGCCAGCATCGTTGTTTCAGGGCGCGGACAAAAGGGCGTCGGCGCATAGAAATGCTCAGGCACCCTTCCGCCTGCAATGCCGTGCCCCGAGAGATGGTCAAAGTGGTCGATACGCGTTGTCGCGCCAATGCTGGGCAGGCTAGCGTTCCGCCACCGCCGTCGAGGTATGCGTGCACGCTCTGACCGCCGACTTGGTCCTCGTCTGCATCCGGCAATTCTTCCTACGAAGGGCGGGGTCTATCGCTGTCGCTGCCTTTGTCACGGGACAAGCACAGGCCGTCGCCGAGTGAGGCGGGCGGACTAGTGCCACAGCCCCCTCGGGTCCGGCGCGGCTGAGGCCAGGTCGGGCTGAGACAGAGAGCAAAGGTGGCCGCAGACGAGCATACACGAGTATCAAGGCCCTGGTCCGCTCCTCCTAGCGAGCCTTGCGCACGCGTGACACTTGTTCAGCTAATACGCTGGCGGTTTGGTCCCGGCTCGAGATAAAGCCCGCCTGCGCCGTGTCACCAAACGAGTCGAGTTGCGAGTTCGGCGTCTGTGCAAGCAATGCGGGAACGGAGCTCAACCATGGATTGGAAAGAGGACCGCGAGACAAAGACATTGTTCTACGAGGAGGTGATGGAAGGTGGGGGGAGGGGGAAGAGAGGGATGCGATTGGCCCCAAGGCTGAAAGTTGAGGTGAACGACTCGACAGAGTCGATAGGCTAGGCTAGGCTAGCGTGCTCGTCGCCAGGAGCAGCGACGGCTGCGCTAGCAGCTCGATGGGCTCTCCGAGACCGTAAGGGGGGCTGAGGTCTTGGCTGGCTCAGTAGCTCGAGCCAGAGCCAGAGCCAAATCCGCCGCCGTAGCCGCCACCGTAGCCACCACCGTGGCCGCTTCCAGCGCCAGCGCCAGAACCAGAGCCCTCGCCAGATCCGCTGCCAGAACCGCCACCGTATCCACCGCCGTAACCGCCACCGTAGCCACCACCGGAGCCACGGCCAGAGCCACTGCCGCTGCCGCTGCCACTGCCGGCACCCTCACCACCACCGTAGCCACCGCCGGAGCCGGATCCGGATCCGCTACCAGCACCGTAGCCCGAGCCAGCGCCAGCGCCAGCGCCGCCGCTCTTCTCGGTCTTCGATCCGCTGCCGGTGACGGTGGCCGAGACGTCTTCGTCCTTCTCGCCGTGAACCTCGACGAACTTGCCCTCCGAGTTGCCGGCCGCGGCGTAGCTGTGACCGTTCTTGCTGTAGCCGGAGCCCCAGCTGCCCGAGCCCAGGCCCTCACCGGAGCCCTCACCGGAGCCCTCGCCAGAGCCAGAGCCAGAGCCAGAGCCAGAGCCAGAGCCAGATCCAGATCCAGAGCCGAAGCCGGAGCCGGAGCCAGAGCCATACCCGGAGCCCGATCCGGAACCCGAGCCGCTGGCACCGAAGCTGGCCTGCTTGCTGGCGCGCGCCTCGACACTGCCCGTCTTGCTTCCACTATTGTCGGCGCTCTCACTGACGCTGAAGGGGCCGAAGCTGGCCTTCTTCGACGCGCCGACCGAAGCTCCGCCCAGGCCGATGCTGGCGTGCTTGCTGACGCCGCCCTCGAGGCCGCCGAAGCTGGCGTGCATGTCCTCGCTGGCCTCGAGGCCGCCCTCCTTGTTAGCGCCGAAGCTCACGCTCTTGCTGGCCCCGATGCTGCCTTCCTTGCTGCCTCCGAAGCTGACACCTTTGCTGGCTTCGATGCTGCCGCCCTTGCTGGCCTCAACGCCGGCTTCCTTGCTGCCGCCGAAGCTAGCGGTCTTGTCCTCGCTGGCCTCGATGCTGCCGCTCTTGCTGGCCTCGATACCGCCCTCCTTGCTGCCGCCGAAGCTGACACCTTTGCTGGCCTCGATGCTGCCGCCCTTGCTGCCGCCAAAGCTGACGCCTTTGCTGGCCTCGATGCTACCGCCGAAGCTGACACCTTTGCTGGCCTCGATGCTGCCCTCCTTGCTGCCGCCGAAGCTGACACCTTTGCTGGCCTCGATGCTGCCTTCCTTGCTGCCTCCGAAGCTGAAGCTCTTGCTAGCAGTGAGACCGTCCTCCTTGCTGCCGCCAAAGCCGATGCTCTTGGTCTCGCTGCCCTCGATGCCGCCCCCCTTGCTGCCGCCGAAGCTGAAGCTCTCGCTGCCGCCGAGGTCGAAGCCGGTGCGCTTGTTGACTTCGATGCTGCCCTGCTTGCGCAACTCGACCTTCTTGGCACCCCGGGCTTCGAAGCCGCCGGAGCCGCTGCCGAAGCCGCTGCCGGAGCCAGCACCGTAGCCACCGCCAGAGCCAGCGCCTCCGCCGTAGCCGCCACCAGAGCCGCCACCGAAACCACCTCCTCCTCCAGCACCGCCACCGTAACCGCCGCCGCCTCCAGCGCCTCCGCCGTAGCCTCCTCCAGCACCACCTCCGTACCCACCACCGAGTCCGCCTCCCCTGCCTCCTCCGAAGCCACTGCCAGCTCCTCCGCCGTAAGCTTGGCCAGAGCCGCTGCCCTCGCCCTGGCCGTAGCCCTCGCCCTTGCCATGGCCCCAGCCGTAGCCCTCGCCATGGCCAGAGCCCTGGCCCCAGCCCGAGCCCTCGCCCTTGCCAGAGCCCTGACCAGAGCCAGAGCCCAAGCCCTTGCCAGAGCCCGAGCCCGAGCCGTAGCCCTCGCCCTTGCCCTGGCCCGAACCAGAACCGGAGCCGTAGCCCTCGCCCTGGCCCGAGCCGAAGCCAGAACCCTGACCAGAGCCCGAGCCGGAACCGTAACCGGAGCCAAAGCGCTTGCCAAAGCCCTTGCCGTAGCCCTCAACCTTGGCGTGGCCCTCGATCTTGCCGTGGCCCTCGACCTTGCCGTATGCCTTGGCAGAGCCCGAGCCCGAGCCGAAGCCAGAGCCCTCACCAGAGCCGGAGCCCTTGCCGTAGCCCGAGCCGGAGCCAGAGCCAGAGCCGTAGCCCTCACCCTTGCCAGAGCCAGAGCCAGAGCCGAAGCCAGAGCCCTCGCCAGAGCCCGAGCCCGAGCCAGAGCCACCACCTGCTCCAGCTCCGCCTCCATAACCGCCGCCGGCTCCTCCTCCAGCACCTCCTCCGAAGCCGCCGCCAGCTCCACCGCCCTTGCCGTGGCCGCCGCCGAAGCCGCTGCCACCTCCTCCACCGGCTCCTCCTCCGTATCCGCCGCCAGCTCCTTCTCCGCTTCCCTCACCAGCGCCTCCGCCATAGCCACCGCCAGAGCCGTAGCCAGCTCCGCCGCCGTAGCCGCCGCCGACTCCTCCCCCGTATCCCTCGCCGCCACCACCGCCACCGCCCGCGCCAAAGCCACCGCCGGGCTTGTGGAAGAAGGTCCTCTCCATCAGGGCGTGCGGAGCGGCCTCGACCTGGACGGGCATAGGGGCCGAGCGGGCCGACGAGGCCAGGGCCAGGGCGGCCAGGACAAACGAGACGGTGAGCTTGACCATGTTGCTAGGCTGGAGGGGAGCGGAGGAGGTGGTGCTTGCTATGGCGGGGCTGTCGAGGGCTGCTGAGTGTCGTTGCTGTTGTCGTCGGGGCTGTCGCTGCTGCCGCTGCTGCTGCTGCTGTTTTCTTGTTGTCTTTGTGCTTTGCGGTCGGGGCTCCGGTTCCTGCGGAAGGCTGTCGATCCTGAGGCCAAGTGATTGTCTGTTGTTCGAAGGGATGGTCCGTGTTTGGCCTGATTGTCCTTGCAAAGGATGGGCTGTGCTGTAGCGATGGCGGCCGGCGCGCGTGCTGCTTGGAATGCTGTCTGTCTCTGACTAGAACGTGTGGTGCGCTACCGGAACGACCAACTGCGGTGGCTGGTGTGGAAGAGAGCTGTGTATATGTGTGTATGTGCGAAGGAAGGTAGTGGAGGATGGAGATGGGACAGGTCGAGGCTGAGACGGTCCGGTACTTATCTGTGTCGACCGCGGCTCGCTCGGGCAGACTGGACAGAGGTATATGGCGCAGAGCTGTCGTTGACGGTGAGGAGAGGCCGGGCCTGGCGCTCTCCGCCCTGGAGCGACGGCCACGCCGGTCTCGCTGACCCCGTAGGCTGCACATGGTGGACCGCAGTCTGTGGTCCGCGCAGAGTCGTCGAGGGAGGCGTATGCTGCGGTTGGCCGCGGTCAGCAGTGGGAGGCCGTAGCGAAGCAAGTGCTGCCTTCCTCCCGGTCGGACCGCGGTCAGATCGCGGTCCTTGGTCGAGCGCGTTTCATCTCATCGTATGACGGCCTAGCTCGATCGCGTTAGAGCCGTCAGCGCCGTAGCGCCGACTCGTTTCAGGTGAATGAGGGATGGGGTCAGCGTCGAGAGTCATCATCGCGTCCTTCGATCGCGTCGATCCAGCACCGACAGCTGCGCACAGGCCGATGTACGCGTTGGCTGGAGCAAGAACAGCCTGTCGCTGCGCCGCGCTCCCGGACGGCGACAAGGCTGAGGATCCGGGCGCGCTCCTGGCTGCTCCCACGTATGGGGCACCGCACGGCCCGCGCGCATGCTATTGTCGCGATGCCAGATCCAAGCTGCAGCGGTGCCTCGTGAGACGAGCTGACACGTCCAAAGCGGTGCACATTGGCTGCTGGTGTTGCTGACCGGCCCAGCGAGAGCGAGGCGATGACGGCCGTAGAGCGCCAGCCGGTGCAGGTGAGCGATGCTCAGACCCAGTCAATCTCAGGCAGGTGTTGGTGGTGATCGGTCCGTCTTTGGGCCAAGAAGTCAGCATTCGAGGATGATGATGATGGTGGTGGTGGTGGTGGTGGTGGTAATGTGGGAAAGCAGACGAAAATTAGCATCAGAAATCCGAGAGAGAGGCGCTGCCGGCGGCGTCGGCGATAGGAGCGGGGGCGGGGCCCACGTACGGAAAGTTGCGCGCAGCCGGCCGGCCCAGCCTGCTTTGCTTTGCTGCGTGCCCGCCTGCCTGCCTGCCTGCCCTGCCCCGCCGCTGCTGCTGGTTCGGGCTTGGCAGAGTAGGCTGTCTAGCCTGCAAGGCAAGGGTGCAGCAGCAGCAGGTGGGCTCGCCGGCACGCCGGCCGGAGACGCGCACTCGGCATCCCGCCAGCCTACCACTCCGCCACCACCACCTTGCGCTCCCGCAGGCACCTCATTCAACGACGCTTCGGCCTGCGTCCTCTCTCACCACATACGCACGGTATTGCTTTGTCCTCGTCTTCATTCCACCTGCGCGACCCGCCAAACCAACAAACGGACCGCCACTACTTGACCGCTGACCGTCGTCGACGCCGTCCAACGCCACCATCCCGTGCTGCTCGGCGCTCCAGGTTTGGCAACCCGACATCGGTCAGCCACTCGCTCCGATAGCGACCGCTCCCCTCTCACCAGCCGCAGACGTAGCAGCACAACCCTACGCCGACACTGCCGTCAGCGTCGCCGCCGCTGGATCGCTCGGCGTGGCACGTCGTGCGTGACTGATTTCGGGCTAGTGCCAGAGTAGCCGTCGTCAACCCGGAGGTCCCGAGTCCTCGCCACAGCTCCAGACAGACGGTCCGGACCGAACCGAGCGCACCGAATTCCAACGTAGCCTGGTCGCAAGGCTCGTCCTGCCGAGTCGCGATCCCTGCCCAAACGAGCGTCCGGACCTCCCCCCCCACCTTGCCCGAGCTGCCCTTGACCTGAGGCGGGCGTCGGCCGCGCCGATACTGTGCTTTCGCCGCAGGTGCTGTCGTTGCTTTGCACCTAGCGCATTCCCTTGGGCCCTGAGCTCGATTTACATAGCTTGTCGCTGCCTCGCCGGCAAACGACGGCCATGGCGGGTTCGCCGGCCGACACTGCGGGCGCTGCGCCCTCCCAGCAGCAGGCGGGGCCCAGCCTCAAGCGCAAGCGCATCCGCATCCCAAAGTCGTGCATCCCCTGCCTCAAGGGCAAGCGAGCCTGCGATCGCGAGCGCCCGGCCTGCGGCAGGTGTGCTCGCTCCGGCCAGCCCAGCGAGTGCGTGTACGACTCGCGCCTCGACGCCGTCCCCGCACGCGCACCGGGCCGCAAGCAAAAGGCTGGCTCGGCCGCTGCCGCAGCCACCACCGCCACCAACACCACCACCAGGAGGTCAGCCGGCAGCAGCCGCGATAATTCCGACGACGACGACGACGACGACGACGACGCCGACGACGACCATGGCGGTCAGTTCCGACGCCACGACCAGTATTCCCACGGTCGCCACGACCACCGACTCACGGCATCGCAACAAGAGGTGGCCTCGCTCAGAACCCAGCTCGAGGCGGCCAGGCGACAGACGATCGAGCTGCAGGAGCTCGTCAGAAGCCAGCAGCGCTCCCACCACCAGCATCAGCAGCACCAGCATCAACGGCAGCACCGTCCGCAGCCGCCCTACTCGGCGACTTCTGACAGCACCTCGAGCGTCTACCCCGACCCTTACCCTGCCCCATCGGCGCCGTCGTCGTCGCGGAAGCGCGATCTTTCCCGCCACAGCGACCTCGATGCCGTCACTGGCCTCCAGATGCTCGCCGAAATGGCGGGTCCAGGAGCCGGACGGCTAGCGGGCGGGCCGGGCATCGGTCCAGACGGCCTGATGGGCCCCGCGGGGCATGCCTACGATCCACCCGGCCGTCATGCCAGCCAGCACCACCCTGACGCAGGCTCAGCGGCCTTCTACGACCGCAGCAAGATGAGCTCGATCGCGTCGGTGCTCAACTGGCCCGCGGAGGGGTCGAGGCAGCAGTTTGTCCGCGCTGGCGTCGCGGGGACCCACAGCACTGCGCCCGGGCCCACGCCTCCGTCCCGGGCTTCGGTGGGCAGCTCGGGCTTCTCTGGCGGCCTGGTGGCTGCGGCGACGTCGTCGAGCGACCCGGGCCTCTCGCCTTCCTCCGACACGCGATCCCAGACCTCGACGGCGACGTCGTCCTCCCAGTCGCCCCACGTCCACCTAGCCGAAGCGCCCATCAAGGACACCGCGTCCCCCGTCAACCGCAACGGCGTGCCAATCTACTATGGCGAGGGCACCAGCGGCGACATTGTCCTGAGGCAGGTCAAGGTCGAACATGCCGCCGAGCCCGGCGCCCGGGGCACGCCGCCCTTCCATTCCTCGGGCATCGGGGGACGGACCTACGGCCGACNGACGCCGCCACGGCGGACTGGCGGGCCGACCGTACTCGTATAACT